TTTATCTTAGTCTTCACGGCTTACAACGCATCTGCATTTTAATTCGCAAACAAAGATAGATGTGTGCTCGTTTGTCACCCTTATTCTATTAAAAAAAAACTTAACATTATTTTACTGAGATTTCAGTAAAATAATGTTAAGTATTGTAAGCACTCGTACAATTAAAGTATAAGGACTTATAATATGAACCATTTATGAATACATATATGAATACATATATCATAAAATATTTCATGGAAAAATTCCTTTTTTCGTTTCGTAATTGCAATTTAACCAAAAAGTCTATCGAATAAGGTAAAATTAGTACTTCGTAATAATTCAGCAGCAATTTTAGCACTCTGCAAAAACGAGCAACGAAAATGAACTGCTATTAAAAAAGTTGAAGGTAGAATCCTTTTTACATAACCCACTTCAACTAAAAGTACGTTAAGTTCTGGTTAAGATTTCTTTTTTGGCTTAAGATTTCCTTTTGCGTTGTATACTATTAGAAAAAAATTGTTTTCTAGCGGATTTTATTCCTCCAATGTAATAATATCCACTGCCCCGTATAGTCCCGTGGGTGTCATGTGAGGCGAGAAGGTGAAACAAACTGGGAGGTGGGCAGCAGTATCACCTTAATAACAACTAAAAATATAAATACTGCGGCCGCAAGCCCATCTGTTAAGCGTAGCAACTATGACAAATATACCCCCATAAGGTAATGTATGGGAGAAGCCTATGGCCTGCAGTGGGCTATTATGGGCTAAAACGGTAACAGTAGACTGGTTAGTTAAAGGGAAAAGCTCTCGCATTAAAATGTCATTTAGCAAAAGCAAACTGAGTTCGATACCCACTGACTCCAACGAAATTTTTAAACGCAGTATTAAGTGCTGATTTACCACACGTTGCAGTAAAAGGAAACATTGTGAGAAAATATATATTTTAGACAAACTTTAAAAAATTCAAGGGCCCTTTACTATGCTCATGAAAAATAAAACCTCATTTTTAGTTTAAAGTGGTTTATTTATAGCTTAATATTATTTACTTTCCATAAATATAAATCTAAATACAGATAAGTATTATTTGAAACCAATAAAACATTAATTAAGATCAGCAATAGCTTTTAAGATGTAACTGTAAATAATATAACGCATACTCGTAAGTTCATCTTCGACTGGTTATTAATATTAAGGGCTGGCTAAATAGCTACCGGACTATTGAGGGGAAAATGTTTCTAGCGGGGTAGCTTCGTTATTTTTCATTTACGAGTAGTAGTTATAAAATACAATTTTTACATTACAATCAAAGACATTTAAGTAGTTATTATACCTATATATTTAAATCTCTTTGATTACAATATTACAGTGACAAACGAGATGACAAATTACAAAACTAAAGATATTTGACATTTTAAACAATATAAGGAGACTCAGAGTACTTTCTCATTCTCTATACTAGAACACAACAGTGCAAATTAGTGACGTGTTTCAACTTATAGATGATGTGGATCTTGAGATAGGTGAGCTTTACAGCACAAAATGCAAAATTTTATCTTGAACTCGGGTTTCAATGATACAACGAAAGTAATGACGAGATATATTTTTAATTAATTACTAGTAAAATATCAACCTTCGTATCATCAACGTAAAATATTCAAGTTGATGATAAACTTATTCAGATTTATAAAATCTAAAAGTCGGAAGTAAGTTGTGTCTCAAGATATCACAAATAGCACACTTGTTGGTTATAATAAGTCATCACATATCCTCAATTTAGAGTACCTACATTGTTTTATCTATGCGTAAACTTAAAGTCTTATAGTTGTTGCACACATACATTGAGTGTTTAGAGGAGAGAGTAATCAAATGTTTTATTGATAGTGTTATGTCATAGATACTATTTACTTTATAATATATTATAAGTCCTGTATACTTTATATTGTTTATTTAATTCAAAGCTTAATTACTTTCTCAGAAGCCAAACTAATGTTATGTCATAAGATACTATTTATTTTATGTTATAAGATCTGTATCCTTTATGTTGTTTATTTACTTAAAATCTAAATCATATTGTTTACTTTCTTAGAAGCCAAACTAATTAGAGTGTAATATTATATAATATCTTAGAATAAGTTAACGATAACACTAAGTGTTTAGGCCCAAACATTGTCATTTGAAACGGCATCCAATCGCCTGAGAGAGCAGCGGCGCGGTCGATTAACGTATTTTGTGGTGACCGCTGCAGCGATTTCGCGCGACGAAATTTGGTTTGCGGTCTAGATTTTTAGGATTAGTGTACCTTTAATTCGCTATTGAATTTGTGGTTTCGTGAAGACCGCCTCGGATTAGTTTGTCTAAGTTGTACGTTCGTGACAAGAGGCTTGTATTGAATTTGACTGATTAAAGTAATTTCGTTTGAAAGTAATTACGTCAATTGTATAGTGATTGCAGTGCGGTCTCTAGAACGGCGTGATCGTCCTGTATAACCTCTAATTAGTGTCGGTTTTGTTAGCAAATTTATGCATCGACGAGGAGTTTGTTGAGTCTAGAAAAATAGACACCGGATTGATTAATTGTTTGGAAGTTAATGTTTAATTGTACCGTCGTGTTATTTGCCTTTTGTGTGTTGTCTATGTAGTTAGTTTGCGTGTCAGCTAGGCTGATTTTGAATCTTAATGCGGGCGTAGTATTTAATATCGTACGAAGGAATTTAGTTTGTCGGTTGTAACGCTGAACTTTTTTGACTTGAGAAGAGATCGCGTTCTTGTTTGTGGTTACAATCTTGTTGCTACGTGAAACGGAAGTGAACTTTGATCACCGTTTATTAGTCGTGCCGTGTGTTACTTTTTTGATTACGATGAACGTTGAATTAGTTGAGTTTGAAGTTAATTAAATGCACAATAAAGTTGATAAACTGAAATAGTGAAGTGACGTCAGATTTGAGGTCGGATAAAGTGAACTACCACCTTTGGAGAGAAGCAACGCTGGATCTGCGGTCCGACTTCAACGGTTAAGTCAGGTCAAACATTATACACACTACTATATACTACTTACATGCACCTACACATACCTACGGCCTGACCGAGCCTTGGGGCGGTCTTAGCTTCGGAACCAGGTACGTACTATTTATTTACCTAGCCTTATATCTATTGTGTAGGTCAATTGTCCATAGGCATTTTGAGCCCCACCCTTAGTTGTCCGTCGAATCTACAGCTGTATGGGCCCCTGTATGGTCGACCTTTGTCGGGGCAGCTAGGGGCGTGTACACCAAGAACTATGTTGTTCAATTAACTTTACCCCCACCTCCTAGCTTCCTACACTATTTAAACCAAATCTTTCGATCTCGCAAGATAATTCCATTCCCAAGTTCTCTGTATCAACTACTATGTTTTAAGTTAGTTTAAAATTATTAAATAAATTTATTTTTAAAAGAATTTTTGTCTCTGTCACATAACAAATTTGGCGCAGTTGGTAGGATCTTGCGTGATTCATTCGCTTAAATCACGTAAAGAAGAAGTAAAAACGTACCATTTTTGATGGGACAGCATCGGCCAACAAGAACACAACGGTAGCTGAAGGTTTTTGAAGAACTTCGCCGGACTATGCAGCTCCGCATTTTATTGTTACTGTGGTAAGTAGCTTAATTTGTTTGGTGGAATTACTATTTTTCCATTTTTACCAAAATACTTTCCTACATTTACCTCCTCATTCACATTCATTTTTTTAAATATAATCATACTATTCTATTATATACTACTATATTATACTATTCTATCATATATTGCGACTCCGTCACGCGATACCGTCTGTCAGCGGGTTGATGACCGAGAAACTAGACCTCGGTCGTCATTGCATCACCACCTCAACCCTTGACTGAACCCATTGGTACTCCTCCGCCGAAGCCAACCTCAAAACAAGGGAAGACGTTTGCGGATGTTGCCCGAAAATCTTTACAACCGGCACCCTCTTGTGGTCGAAAGCGGAAGAATGTGGAAATAAAATCAGTTCCAGTGGTGAGCCAAGACAAGATTGACAAGGACGGGTTTACTCTCGTTGAGAAGAGACGTCGGTCGCGACCCGTCTGTAACCAGCGTGGGACCGCGAAAATAAACGCGAGTACAACTCTGCGTGCTGTGGAGCCAACCATACAACTCTACATCTCCCGTTTGGACAAAAGTACGTCGGGAGAATACGTCCTGCGCTTCGTGGAAGAACGAAGCCGATGCCGCATTGAGGATCCGATCTCTTTACATTTGCAGCGTCTGGAGTCTAATAGGTCAACGAACTTCAAATCCTACGTGCTCCAGGTTCCTGCGAAACATAAAGAGACATTCCTCGCTCCCGATTTCTGGCCCTCTGGGGTAGTGTTTCGCAGATACAGGGACGCGCCAAAGAAAAAAATTCCCTAAATAGTGTTATGCCTATATTTTATATATATATTTAGGTTAAGGTATATATTGCTATGGGCCAATGTTCTTAATTTTTAAGTCCTTGATGCCTGAAATAAAGTTATTGTATTGTATTGTATATCAATTATTCATTGCCTGTGTAAATCAATCTAAAAAGAACCATAAGATGGCCTTAGACATCATAAAACATCAAATACCACTACTGACATTCCAATTCACACAAAAACCTATTGCTTTCCTCAAGTAAACGAACAAGAAGTAAAATCACAAGTCCAACAAATGTCAAAATCAAAGTCAAATCTCCTTGAAATAGCCCCATTTGGGTTGTTCCTAAAAAAACTAGACGCATCTGGGAAACAGAAAAGGCGATTAGTTATTTATTACCGCAAATCAAATGAAGTCACAGTAGGAGACAGTTATCTTCTTCCCAACATCACAGACATTCTAGACAAATTAGGTCATTCTCAATATTTTACCACATTGAGAATGACCTAGTTTGTCTAGAATGAATTGTCTAGATCTCACCTCATGTTTTAATCGGTTAGAAGTAGATCAAAAATATAGTTCTAAAACGGCTTTTATTACTCCATACGATAATTACGAATATAAAAGAATGCTATTTGGCCTGAAAAACGCACCAGCCACATTTCAGCATGTAATGGACTCCGTTTTGTGTGGCTTACAAGGTGAAATATGTTTCGTTTACCTCGACGACATAGTGGTATTTGCTTCTAGCCTTCAAGAACATGAACAAAAACTTGAAGAAGTTTTCTCTAGACTTAGAATATATGAACTAAAAATCCAACCAGATAAATGTGAAGTTCTTAGATATGTAGTTACTTATCTTGGCCATATCATTACCAACCAAGGCGTTAAGCTGAACCCCGATAAAATACGGACAGTTCAAGAATTCTCTATTCCTAAATCGTGTAAAGATATAAAAGCATTTCTAGATCTTACAGGATATTACCGTCGGTTTATTCGTAACTTCAGTAAAGTCACTAAACCTTTAACTAGCCTTCTTAAAAAGGACACTGCTTTCATATGGGGCGAAACCCAACAACAATCATTCAATGAATGTAAACATCTTCTTATTAACCCTCCAAGGAATTCATGCTAACTAGAGACGATTCGATAAACGTCTTAGGTGCCGTGCTATCGCAAGGAGAAATTAGAAAGGACTTGCCTATAGCATATGCATCTCGAACACTCAAAAAAGTTGAATCCAACTATTCCACTATCGAAAGAGAGCTATTAGCTATCGTTTGGGCAGTCAAACATTTTAGACCCTATTTATTTGGTAGGAAATTTAAAATTGTAACTGACCACAAACCGCAAACATGGCTTTTCTCGATAAAAGACCCTGGTAGTCGGTTAGTTCGTTGGCGAATTAAACTCGAAAAGTACGAATACGAAATAGTATATAAGGCAGGTAAAAACAATACGTATGCAGACGTTCTCTCACGCCCACCAATTATAACTTCAATAACATAAACATAAATAACATAAATAATCCAACAAATAGCGACAAAAACACACATCTTGACTCAAACACTTCAGAAGGCTATTTACAACACTACTTAGAACTCCACTCTCACACTTTTAATACTCCATATCTCCATATTTCACTAGACTGCCCCTTAAACGAGCGTCACAAAAACATTCTTATCTGTAGTGTTTGCATATATATATATATATATATGTCATTGTCTCGAGCGCACTGCGTCAGTTACACGAGAGCCTCGGGCGAGAGTGGATGTGTTTTGTTAAAGTGCGTGCCGAGCCTGTGTTACACTACAGTGATTAGAGAAGATAGCAGACATTACAAGTGGCGACGAGGAAAAAGATAAGTACCTATTTAGTATAAAGATATAATCAAAAATAGGTTAGCAATGTACAACAATTAGCATTGCAATTGTAAATTAATTCCTAGAGTACCCGCGGAAAAAAAACTGTGGATTATGAATTATGATTTTTTTTTAACCCTGTTCTGATCATTTTAATAATTTATATAAATTATATGTTCGCATATGACCACGCTTATGGTGTGCAAAAAATTATTTTCTTTGTGTAGCAATGATAAAATAATGATTTATTTTAACATATGTCTATTAGCACAACTTTTATTTAAAAAGATTTTTGATGGAAAAATAGTAGATGTTACTAATCACTCCTCTCGATTCGAACCGAAATACAATGTCGTTAGCTAAATTTTAGTGGCATTTTACATGTAGGTATGATATTTATCGCCTTTAATGAAAATACTATGTTACAGCTTTCATGGCATATATAAGTCTTACAAAAAATCGTGGACACTTCACGACTTCTGTACATTGCAAAGTAGGTAACTAGTAATACTGTAAATGCGCATTATAGGTATTGAATTTACCCAAAGTCTAAATGGCACTGCAATGGAAGTAGTCGGTATAACAAATAAACCAAAAGAGAAGGGCGAGTGTTATGGAACATATTATTATCATGAAATTAAGTTTGGGTACCAAGATACCAACCATTAAATTGGTGTTGGGAGCTAAGATACCATCATTAAATAGAGTTTGGGTACAAAGATACCATCATTAAATTGAGTTGGGTACTAAGATACCAACATTAAATTGAGTTTGTGTACTTAGATACCATCATTAAATTGAGTTTGGGTACTAAGATACCATCATTAAATTGAGTTAGGATACTAAGATACCACCATTAAATTGGAGTTAGGGTACTAAGATACCACCATTAAATTGGAGTTTGGTTACTAAGATACCACCATTAAATTGGAGTTTGGGTACTAAGGTAGGTACCACCATTAAATTGGACTTTGGGTTCTAAGTTACTACCATTAAATTGGACTTTGGGTACTAAGTTACTACCATTAAATTGGACTTTGGGTATTAAAATACCAGCATTAAATTAAAAAAAAACATAAGAAACTGTTTCAGTTTCCCCCTAAAATAATAACAATATTGATACCGTTATCAGTTTTAATGTGATAGCACATCTATGGATATAAGGTGTGAAAAATGGAAAAGGTCTCTACTAATCTATCGGGACGCAGCTGAAGTTATATCAGCACTCAAGAAACGAGCTACGCTATTGCATTTTGGTGGCTCTGGGATACAAGAAATATTCTACAATTTACCGGGTGTTAATGTCGAATCATCAGAAACCGTTGATGTATTTAAAGTAGCCATAAAAAAACTCTACGAGTATTTTCAACCTAAACGGAGCAAAGTAATGAGCGGCATGTTTTTCAATTGCTAAAACAGGAAAAAGGAGAAACATTTGAGAAGTTTTTGATAAGATTGCGTCAACAGGCCGAAAAGTGTGCATTCGAAAAGCAAGATGATCATTTCATAGATCAAATTGCGGAATAATGTAATTCGAAATTGCGCAAGAAACTTATATCTTACAAAACGTGGGAAGAGTTAAAAAGTAAAAAAGTATATACTTTTAATCAAATGTAAAGACCGGACAAGACATTATTAGCATATGGTAGTAACTCTCCTTTGGCAATAGAGGGTTCATTTGAAACTATACTCGAAGTCGATGGACGAAAGGAACATACAACCATTTACGTGATTTCGGGGGGTACTAGAGACCTGTTTGGTAAGAACACAGCAGTCCGTCTGGGTGTCTTAAAACTTGGTATCGGGATAAATCAAGTGGAGAGTACCGATCCCCAATAAAGATAAGGTTGCAATCAAAATTAAGGAATCACTAAACAGTGATATAATTGAAGAAGTGCAAGGCCCGTCTAAATGGGTTTCACCAATGTTCCAATCATGAAAGAAAATGGTCAATTACGTTTGTGCGTAGATATGAGATGTACGAACGCCGCTATATTGCGAGAAAACCACCCCCTGCCTACTATGGACCATTTTTGCCTAAAATGATGAAAGCTAAATATTTTAACAAATTCTACATAAAAAATGCCTTCCATCAAGTGGAAATTCACTCTGAATCCAGACACATAAAGACTTTTATAACCCCCAAAAGATTATATAGATATAAAAGAATAATGCTTGGAATTACCTGCGCTTCCGAGATTTTTCAGAAGATCATTGAAAGGATGCTGATAAACTGTGAAGGGGTCGTCAATTTTATTGATGATATTCTGGTGTTCGGGAACAGTGAAGAAGACGCATGACTAAAGAAAGTTCTACAGGTACTTAGTAAAAACAACGCCGTGCTGAATAGCAATAAATGCATATATAAAACGCAAGATGTGAATTTTCTGGGACACAGGCTTACACATGAAGGAGTAAACCCTTCAACAAGTACGTTGAGATCATTATGAAATTTAGGGTCCCAAAGACTATAGAAGAACTCCAAAGTTTTTTAGGACTCTTAAACTACATAAACAAATGGATACCTAACTTGGCCGCCATGACAGAACTTCTGAAGCACCTGCTAAGACAGAAGATGAGCAAAAGGGAGAGCTTGGAAAAACAATGGTCTGGGGAACAAGATAAAGCATTCCGAAAATTCAAACGGATGCTCACGGAAATACAGATTTTAGGGTATTATGACGTCAGAGATGCAGGACAGGTGATAGCAGATGCTAGCCCTGTCGGACTTGGTGCTGTCCTTGTACAAAATGATACAAATGGCCCTAGAATTATTGCCTATGGTAATCGAACTTTGATAGACTGCGAGCGCAGGTATAGCCAAATGGAAAAAGAGGCACTAGCACTAGTTTGGGGGGTCGAACTTTTAATATTTATTTTTTATTTGGAAAGTCTTTTGATTTAGTCACTGACCACAAGCCGCTAAAGATATTGTTCGGGACTAAGTCAAAACCATGTGCGAGGATTGAACGATGGGTACTGAGGCTACAGTCTTATTCATTCAAGGTTGTATACAAGCCAGAAAAAACAAATATAGCTGATCCCTTGTCACGATTATGTAACTATCCTGATAACCCACCAAAAGGAAAAGACCAGCATGTGTACCAAATAGTGGAAAATTATAGACCAGTTGCTATACCAATGAGTACCATTGTAGCATATTCAGAAAAAGACCAAGAGATTTACAAAGTGACAAAAGGTGTCTATCAGAACGACTGGGACGATTCGATTAAGAGTTACAAATTTTTTGAAAACGAGTTGTGTTTTCATGATAGCATTCTACTTCGTGGAAATAAAATTGTAATACCACAGCAACTCTGCAAGAGTGTATTAGATGCTGCATACGAGGGTCGTTTTGAGATCAAAGGTATGGTGGCCCCGTATCGATAAAGACGTAGAACAATTAGTAAAGGCCTGTAAAGGTTGTGCGTTAGTGGGTTTGCCAAACCCACCTGCACCAATGAAAAGACGAGAGTTGCCTGCAGCTCCATGGATAGATGTCACAATAGATCTAATGGGACCATTGCCAAGTAACGAGTATCTGTTAGTAGTGGTCGACTACTATAGTCGATACAAAGAAGTAAACAATTACAAAAACATCACAAGCTTACAGATTATTAAAATGGTAAAAGAAATGTTCAGTAGACTTGGTTATCCTATTTCTATCACCGCAGACAATGGCAAGCAGTTCGTTAGTGAAGAGTTTCGATCTTTCTGAAAAGAATGTAACATTAAGTTATTTAGTGCTGTACCATATTGGCCTCAAATGATCGGCGAAGTTGAAAGACAAAACAGAGATATTTTGAAACGTCTCCGTATCAGCCAGATCGAGAGGAAGGATTTAAAAGAATGTTTGTGGGAGTATCTTCTAATGTATAACAGCACCCCTCCTTACAGTTACCGGGATGTTACGAGTTTTTTCAACGAAAAAGTAAGGATAAAATTCCATCAATAGGTGAAATAAATTACAGACAATCATTTAGATTCAGATATCAGGGATAGAGACAAAATACAAAAAGAAAAAGGAAAATAGTATGTAGATGGGAAACGCAGAGCAACTCACTCAGATATAATACAGGGAGATAAGGTTTACGTAAAAGCAGTGCAAAAATCGAATAATCTTACAACAAATTTTAAACCGACGCCACACGTCTTAGAGAGTACACGAGACGGTGACTGCACAGTACACAATAGTGAAACGAACCAAAGGTTTAGGAGAAATGTGATACATTTGAAAAAAGTAGGAGGCGATTGGACGGCTATTCCACCCGAT